ATAGAAGAACTAAAGGAACACTCCTATTCAAATGAAAGGGTATGTTTTTTATATAAAAATGGTTTTCGAATGAGAAAATAGTTACAGAAACCCACTGCCACGTGAATTATATTTTTCGGGTTTTCGTCGGATTCGGGTTCCCCAAAACCCAACGAGTTCGGGTTTGGTATTAGCATTTTAAACTCCGCTCAATTCGGGTTTGAGTTTTAGATTTCGGATTCGGGGTTGGGTAAGTACACAACCCGACCCCACCCTGTTGCCATTCCTACTTGAATTACATAATTCACAAAATAAATAAGGGGAGAAATCCATTTACTCCAAGAGTAAGTGGAAAAGACTTACTCATCATCTTTTCCACTTACTCTTGGAATAAGTGGATCCATCCCCAATAAATAATACACAAATTTTAAGTTTTATACAAAAGTTTAGGGTTTATACATAATTCTTTGTTCATATACGTATATAGATAAATGAAAGTGTTATATGGAGTTATGAGGTTTGATGGTGATAGAGAGGGGAGAAATGAGAGTTATGGAGTTGAGTGGTGATGATGTGAAGAGTAAAAAGGATGAGAGATAAAATTATAATTTCATTTGGTTGTCAAACATACCTAGTTTATATTTTCATTTTATTTTCAAAAAGTAATCATAATCTACAAAAATTTATCCTATCCAAACATAGGCTTATTCTCATAAGTGATTACAACATATCAAATGGCTAAATATCATATTTAAAGTATATGTGCGGACTAAAAACAAAAGAATGACCGAAAAAGCTAAGTTTTCGGGCAGATTCTAACTCAGCATAGAATCCAATAAATTTGTAAGTTTAAGTATATATTTTACATTTTGTAATAATCAATATATAAAAATAATTATTATATGAAAAATATTTTTTACACATGTTAAATTGTCACTATGGTTCAGTGATTAAAAATTTATTTGTACTAAAAAAAAGGCTAACAAAAAAATCATTATAAAATAATAATAAAATAAATAATATATAATCTTAAAATGATAATAAAATATTATATATATATATAATATTTAATTAAAAATAAATTTAGATTGTAACATATATGTACGATCGGTGTAAAGATTTATATATAGTTATTATATCATTCATTTAGATTTTTTTGAAGACTGATAAAACTAATGATTAAATATGAATGATGAATGATACAATAACAATATATAAAACTCTCTCAACGAAAGCACCAATGTTAGGGCTGAAATTACCCTAGCAGATGTGATTAAGAGAACTAATATCTAAAGACTAAAATTTAAGTAAAATAGTGTTTTATTCATATCATTTGAATGAGGTTTAATCTTGCTTAAATAGTACTAAAAAATCAATCTATGAATTGATAAATCTAATCTCAATCCCATTATTTGAAAAGTAAATCTAATAATAATTAAAATATAATCTTATCATGATCTCCTCCTAATTAGATAAGATAATATTTAAATTTAGAATTACATTCATTCAAAACATAATATAATCATAATCTTTAAATCTAATTGGTGTTTGAGTTAATCTTTTGGATTTGGATGTAACACCTTCAACAATGCTATTGGGTTTTGCCCAAAAAGGTAATATTGATGTCCTCATACTCATTACCTACCAATGGGATAAATTTTCCATCCCTTATGAGGGAGCTATGTCTCCTACCGACTACTACAGTTGACTTGGTTTGGAACTACCCTCACTATTTATAAACAACAATGATGTGAACTTTTCTGCCTCGGAATTTACTTATAAGCTGAATTTTGAGCGCAAAGACCACCGCGTTCGGCGTGCACAACAATCTTCTCTTTGGAATTTCATAACTAAATCAAAACCATCCAGGTTAAACAGAGTTATAATTACAAAAAATAGAATCAGATAATTTTAAAAAAGTACTGAAGAAAATCCATTAAAATCAGCCTAGTTAGTTAAGTTATGAGACATATTGTAAAGATTATTCTAGTTCAAATATGGAGAAATATTAATTCTCCTCCTCTTTCCTTAAAAAGGAGTTTTTCTATACAAAATTAACTTTGAGAAATGCTAGCAATATACATTTTCTAACATTCCTTATTTTTATGAAGTTGACATAAGGCTACTAACCTACAAAGGGATATATAATAATAGTGTGTAATGGGTTGTCGAATCTGCAAAAACTTATTAGATTATAGTTTTTCAAGTTGCAACTAACAATTATTATTGCAACATTTGTATAGAGTGTACCTCTTTTTTGCGCTAAGCGCAGATGGGTGTGATTAACGTATGAGTTACATAGGCTAAAGGTTTTATTTCTTTGGTACATATGCTCACCATAGGGGTTGCGATGAGTGTCAGTCTTCCTCCACTAAGCGTGGTTGTTCGCTTAGCGCAGATCTCAGTTGTTGCCTGATCCACTTAGTGTGATTCTTGAATTGAACCTGGTCAAATTTTGTCTGGAAACTTGGCTTTTTAGATCATTCCCCTTTATTAAGTCTGCAAAATACTTAAATAATGATATTTAACCATTTTACGAGTTTTTATTATGTAAGAGTATAAATTCATTCATTTTAGTTGATTAAGTAATTAAAGTGCCTCAAAATATATATTTTATAATTAATTTCACACTTAACAAAACAAAAACAAAAAGCTTATTATTCAAAATCAACTCATAAAATTTACAGAATTAGTATGTTTGATATAAATTCACTTAACAGTAAAAGGATTCCCAACATTCACATTTTAACTTTACCAATAAAAGTAGATTTGCGTACTCAAAAACCAATGTGCCTATCAATACATGTGTTCATCACTTTCCATATTCCATATTACAAGTATCTAACATCCTGGGTCTAAATTCCATTAGAGAGCTTCGCTTCTTTTTTAGAACTCAAAAAGAAATATAAATAATTTATTGGGTCTATCTAAATGTAGATTAAATATTAGAGGATAATGAAAAAGTTTATGTCTCAGTTTTGATTCTTCATACTGATTGTTAGAAACTTCCCCGTCCGGGTAGAATATGGCCCTAGTATTGGAGGATCCGGTACTAGTAGAGATAGTGATATGTAGCATTTAAAAAAATTTAACATTATAAATTTTAAATTATTTTTAATTAAAGTTTTTTTAAACCATTATATTATTTCGGGTCTTACATTTTAGAATTTAGAACTGTCCAATATTAGATTAGAGAGTATTCTAACCTTCTCTTCCAATTTCCTTGTATCTTCTGCCGTCAAATATAACGGCCAAGCCTAGTTCCCCAGTCCTCAAAAAGTCAAACTTCTTCCCGTCCAATATTCTAAAGTCTAAACCACGTTCCGTTATTATAGGGCTCAAAAGTCAACAACTAGAAAATCAAAGTACACTTAGTAAGACTCCTCTCCATTTAATGGAGAGGGAAGTACCAAAAAAATCAAAAAAAAGTGGAAGATGCAATGTCACTTTTATCTTTTTTATTTAAAATATGATTACATTTTTATCCTTAGAATACACTTAAAAAATTTATTTGTGTCCCATTAATAGAGAAAAGTCATACTCAAGTACACTTTGAAAATAAAAAGAAACAAGCTCTTTCTTTCTCCACTCTTTCTCTCATGCTTCCCAAAATTCCATACTTCACATATTTAAATACTCTTTCCAATCACCTATATATCTTATACAAGTTATAAACATATATCCATATCAATATTATTCATCTCACCTAAGTTATTATTTTCCACATTTTATAACGTGTTATATAATTAACATGTCACGTACTATAGAGATTACCATTTTGTCATGTGAAAACCTTAGATTAAATAAAAGATCGATTAAGAAGAACACATTTGTGACGGTTCAATCCGATGCTAGCAATGAAGTAAGCATCACAAGAATGGACTCAGAAGGTGGGAGTTACCCTTCATGGAATGAGAAGTTTGTGATGAACATGGCATTGCATGCAAGGTTCATAACTGCTGAAGTGAAATGCAAAACATTAACAGGGGTTAAGAGTGTTGGATTTGCTAGAATTCCAGTTTCAGATTTTATAGGAGGGTTTGTGCCAGAAAATCAAGTGCTTTTCTTAAGCTATAGGTTATGGGATAGTAAAGCTACCAGAAATGGGATTATAAATGTTTCTGTTAGGGTACATTCTTGTTCCAATTCGATGTCGGTGATGGCGGCAGCGAAGGGAGTGGTGGTGGCCGGTAATGGCTCCCGTTCCTCTGGAGTAGTCACTGGGATTCCTGCAATTTGGTTAAACTACCAAAGCAATCGTTGATATGTACCAAAGGAAGGGAGGATGGAAATGAAAGCATGCATTTTCTTCTCAATCTGTTGAGAGAAATATTATAATAAAAAAGAAAATGAAGAGTTTGGAAATGGATACAGCAAGAGATTGATCACATGTATCATTTAAATTTTTTTAATGATCCAGATTTTAAATTATTTTTAATTAAAGTATTTTTTAATTTTCAAATCATTTTGGGTCTCACAATCTGGAGAGGATCTGAACTCGAAGAGTTTGTAGGAAAATTGTAATGAAAACATAAAAGAAAAATGAGTAGTTTCAATGTTTTTAACAGTGTTTGTAGCTCAGATTATCATAGATTTCATTCATAAGAAAAATAAAGACATTTGGGTCAACAAATTTTAAAGAAAATAAGGATGTTTTTGTAATTTTTTAGATTAAAAATGCCAGAAATAATTCTGAAAAGGTTAGTCTAAAACAATACGTGATAATAATTATTTTGGCATATATTTTAAAACTGCAAGAATCCTAATTGCAACCATATTGTGGTGCATGGAATTAGAATTAAAAGGGAACTTCTCTATTGACTGCTTCTGAAGTCCACATATCTTCAAAAATTACGGGCATACCAATAAACTAAGATTTGATAATGTCAATGCTGGAAATTGCCCTACATATCTTTAGGATTGAAGGTCTCATGGCAACTTCTTTATATTATTCTGACTAGTACGTTTCAGACATTTTGAAATTCAATGTACATAAATAAGGGGATTATTAAATAAAAATAGAGCTCAGATGTTCATAGATTATTTCATCTAGGAGATGAGGGTGATTAAACCCAATAATCACATCATATATTCCTCATTGCTCATATTATTGCACCAGCCGGGAATCGAACCCGGGTCTGTACCGTGGCAGGGTACTATTCTACCACTAGACCACTGGTGCTAATTGGAAATTTGTAGGTTCTCTAGGAAGGATAAGATAAATACGAGAATATATACATATAACCATAATCAATTGGTTAAAGAGGACTCACGAAATTATCTAAAGTGGACGCATCCTAGTTTCTTTGTTCATATTATTTAAGATGCTTGAAATTTTTTCCAACCTAGTTAAATATTTTTGAAACTAAATAATTACTAATAATTAAATAAATATAATAAAATAAGCAAAGTTAAATAATAAAAATAAAAAAATGTTTAAATATTTTATTTTAAAGAGTTATAAGAGGGTTGGACTTGTACTCGGTCTTTCCTCCAAAACTTAATTGAGAAGTGGTTATGATAACTACAACCATTCTGGAAACCATTGCATTCATGGGTGTGACGAAATAATTAACCATGCTTTTAGTTAAGGTTTCACTACAAATTTGTTTGAAATTGCCCACAGTTTTAACTGTCACTAACAAAAATACAATTTTATTAAATATACAGATACATTTTTAACGGTCACTAACTCAAGCTTAATTTAAAAAAACGGATCTGGACAACAAATTTGGTGTTTCTCATCTGTGAAATTTTACCTATTACTGAAATAACAATCAATATGTCCTCAGATTGGCACAAAACATCAACAAATCATAAACATGTCAAGATTGGAGGACATATATATATTGTTGGATACTAAATGCTACAACTTTTGTCAAAAACATAACATGAAATATAACTTATAATGTATTTTTTTTAAAATAAGGCCTTTAAGTGGGTTAGTAGAATCTAATGAAATAATGATCAACAAATTACAAATATAGCTAACAGAACATAATGTGACTTCTAAAAGAGACTAGGAGAGCAATGGAAAACTAATCAAGTAATCATATATATCAAACATACGGTGTTTGCTAATTTGCGAACTAATACTTAGTTTGCTTGGAAGCGAACTGCTTTATAGCCGTTAGATGGAAAATTTTGTTTACTCCCTACCGTTTCATTGACATTTTGGAAGTCGGTATAAAGGTTAACGAATTTAGTTTAGAAGTCAGTATGGAGAGTACAACTTCCAATCAGTCTGAAGTTGGTGTAAGTCATATCGACTTTAGTGTAGAAGTCAGTTTGGGCCATACCGACGTCTAAACATAACAACTAGAAGTCATTTCCTGCCATACCGACTTCTAAACAAAAGCTGTTTCCTGCCATACTGACTTCTAAATAGAAGTCGTTTCCTACTATACTGACTTCTAAACATAACAGTACAGAAGTCGGTTTGGGCCATACCGACTTCTATACTATGTTGAAGTCATTTCCTGCTATACCAACTTCTAAACATAACAATACAAAAGTAGTACTATATTGAAGTCGTTTCCTGTCATACCGACTTCTAAATATAATAGTTACTCGATCAAGATTTTAAAGTTAAGATTGAAGGCAATAAGATCTAACGGCTCACAAATTAGTTCGCTTGAGAATTAGGAAGTTAGTCACCCCCTAACATAATTCAATGCCTAACAAATAATTTCAAGCAAACAATTATTACTTATAATAAACACATATTATATCAACAACTAGCGCATATCATGGGCACATATCATCTTAGGTTGTTCTTACTACATCACCATATTAATATTACTTGGGCATATAGATGCTTCATATGCAATCACATGTCCAAAAAGATAATGCTACTAAATAAAGCATAAAGACTCCTAAACTTTCTATTAGTGATTTCATATATAGAGAGGGATCCACTTACTCCAAAAAACACTTACTCTTCATCTTAGCCATCTAATCTTAAAAAATTCAATGGTTTAGATGTACTCACCAATTTAAACCATTGGATTTCCAAGAATGAATGGTCATGATGTGGAGTAAGTGTTTTTCCACTTACTCTTGGAGTAAGTGGATCCCTCCCCTTCATACATATATATATATATATATATATATATATATATATTACTTCTAATAAATATACACAAAAATGCAATTAGACATTAACAAGTACTCATAGCTATATACAAATATAAAACTTGCCCATGATATATCTAATAATTATTTACATATAATAAACACATATTATATCAACAACTAGCACACATCATTTTTTTAATAATATGTCCCTTTATAAAATTGTCATCTTCTATAACTAAAAATTGCCTTTTATAAATGAAAGTAGATATAACTAAAAAATAATAATATATTAAGCATGAAATAAACTGATGTACAAATAATGCTACTATAATTTACAACATGAAAATACATAACCTTCAAGATATTTTAATAAGTCATAAAAGACTCATAATACTTATCAACCTTAATTTTAGTGTCAAATAAAACAATTGCAAAAAGTTTCTATAAGAATGATGTTTGGCAGGAAAAATAGTAATCAAATGTAAAATTAGTCACACATGAATTTCATAATTATTTTTATGTGGTTCAAAGTTTATATTATTCGATTAAATTTAATTTTCTATTAGTGATTTCATATATTTATTTATGTTATATTTCCCAGTTGTTAAAATAGTTGTAATTATGTTTTGTATAATCGATTAACAATATGGTTAATTAATTATCTGCATTTAGTTAGTTAAGTCGAACTTTGTATATGATAATCGGTTATCAACAAGGTTAATTGATTATCTTATTTAATTATTTTTCTATTTTGTGTTTTTTTTCTTTCTATTTTAGTATAAAATGTGATTTTTACACCTTTGTAAACACAATGAGAAAAATTACTATTTCTCCTTCTTCATTCTTCAAACTTTTCTTTCTCATTCATGCATGACTCCTACCATTTTAACATGGTATTAGAGCGTAATTATTCTTTCATATCAAATGCAAATCTAGAAATATAAATTTGAATATAATATATGGAACAAAATTGATAATTAAGATTTTAATCTTCCTTATAATTAAGGAACAAAGTTGATAATTAAGATTTTAATCTTCCTTATAATAAAGAGTAAATACTCATTTCAATCATCATTTTTTTATCTTACTAGTTTCGTCCTTCAAAAAATGAGAAACTCAAAATGGTCCCAATTTTTTTTAAATATAGGTCAAATTAGTCTCGATCAAGTGTTGTAAAATATACTGAAAATGACTAATTAGACACACAATTTTAATTTTGTGGGGACCATTTTAAATTAGTCCCTTATTTTCTTTTAAAAATTATTGACCCAGTGTCTTTATTTATCCTAAAAATTACCAAAGTCACGGGTAAGTAATCATAAAATTATTGTGATACCGAGGACACAAAATAATCATAACCAATGTTTTAAAAATCGTGCCTTACCGGCCGTTCAACCGGAAAACCGGTGAACCGGACCCCTAACCGGTACGGTACGTATGTTATACCGCATATGCAATAGAACTGGTCAAAACCGGTCAAAACCGGTAAACCGGTCAGTTTGTACATTAATTTTTTTTTTTTTAAATTTCAAATTTTCAATTCTTCACCAATTCTTCAACTTCAATGATTGATATTTGGGTCATTTATTTGTATTTTGCGTTTGTTAAGTGATAATTTTGGATAAATATATGTTTTGTACTTTAGACTTTGATTTTATTAAAGACTTAATGTTGTTTGTTTGTGTGAATTTGAAGTAAATTATGAATATGGATTATAAATATGAATATCTACTTATTTGAAATTTTTTGTTATAGGTTTACATATATATATATATAAGAAAGTATGTCCGGTTTAACCGGCATGCAGTTTAATTACTGAACCACTGGTTGAACCACTGTACCACTATATCAGTATCCTAACCGGTTTGATAACCGGTACGGTTTTAATAACATTGATCATAACTATAAAACCACAAAATAATCACAATTTCAAGCTATATTGGAGTAGTCAACATTTTCAAGCTATATTGGACTAGTGAAACTATCCCACAAACCAACATAACCATCAACATATCCTAGCTAGTTAACTATATTGGAGTAGTCATGGATAACCAAGAAATAATGCCACTAGAATGGCATTAGTTCAAATTCTCTAGTTGCCTTAATCTTTAGCAGCTAGAGTTTTTCTAGTTCTTTTCAAAAAAAATGTTTTTCTAGTTCTTTTCAAAAAAATATTGGTACTAAGAGATTTATGAAGATTTTTAATCATAATATTAGTTAGCTTTGTTTTGGTGAATATGATGGTAATAATAACCATTTGAATCTTATGTTATGCAATTCTTCTTTCCTTTTTTTACTCCTGGTGAAGGTTTTCTTTTATTTTAGGAGTATAACGATTAGGTAAATTTTGTTTTAGAAAAAATAAATAGTTCTGTCATTTTTGCTTTGACATTTTCTTTTGCAAAAATAAGAGAAAGTGTGAAAATAATAAACTTAATATAACGCTGTCTATTTTTCCTTTTCAAAGAAAGTGTGGTGTTTTTAACGTTTTCCACACTTGTTTCCAACTATGAGAGATAAAAAATTTACATTATAAATTCATTGGACTTTACTTTAAGAACATTCATCACCTTCAAATAACTAAATAAGAAGAAATGACAAGTTGCAAAGCTTTCTGGGTTATTTCCTTTATAGCCTATCAAGCTTTCTTTGCCAAAATCAATGGTGCAAAGAGCCATGTGCCAGCATTATACGTGTTTGGGGATTCAGGTTTAGATGCTGGAAATAATAACAATCTTAAAACGTTAGCTAAGGCAAATATAGCTCCATACGGTATAGACTTCAATAATAAATCCACTGGCAGATATACCAATGGAAAAACCTTCGCAGACCTTATTGGTAAGTTTAACATTATAATCTACTCGATGCACTCTTTCATATAATTAGGGTTGATAATAACTAATAAAAAACTATTGTTGTCACCATCATGTCCATTGCAATTTCAAAGCAACATTACTGTTTCTAGAATTATTATAATTATTTTTCTATTTGCATTGTGTAGCTATTAAGTTGGGTTTACCATTTTCACCTCCATACTTGGGTGTCTCTGAATCTGAAAGACATCTAGTAACCGCAGGGGTCAATTATGCATCTGGTGCATGTGGAAT